GAGAACACTTATCCTGCTGGAGACAATACTTATTAAATTATCAAAAGCTCGTGTGTGTAGTACGTGGATTGGTTTGCAAAATCAATGCCATTACAATTCTATAATCAAGAGAAAGGTGTTACTTTTTCATCCGAAACTGAGGTTAATACAATTTCACATAATTCAGTTACCTGGAGAACAGGGCAGCTAAATGCTTCGTCCACAAATATACCAAACTTTCTCAATCTGCAGATTATTGTGATCCAACGAAGGAGATCTATATAAAAACATTAACTGTGATTATAGTCAATAGTATTTTCTAAATTAATATCTAAAGTGTCTGATGTCTCTCTTATGATCCAGGGTGGAATCCTCCCGGCCTATTCAAACGACGATTTTGGGCTACAGACTTCCAATAAAACTCACAGTGTTGCGATTAACATCGCTTGTTCACGCAGTCATTTACTGTTAGTTAATTGGAAAAACAATTACAGAAAGTGGTCGATGCATTAATTGATAAACTCTACGAATATGTATAGCACAAGCTTCTCGTGATGGACGTTACACTTTCTAATTCTTGAACGACGTCATGTTTTTCTTTACATTGGATTACATAAAAATCTCAGTTTCCATTTGAACCATTTGTAAGCATTTGGGATTCTACGGTATTATGTGTTTTGAAATGAACGTCTTTGTATAATTTACAAAAAAAGTTTCGAAATTATTCAAAAAACAAACAAAATATTTATAGTGTTTCTGATAATTTTCAAGCCCACTTATCTATCAGGATCGCGCTAAAATTTTGAATGTAAATAATGATTTTAAACTGAGACAATGGAAATATATGGGAACGTATATGTCATAATGTGTAGGAGATGCCTATATTTTTTTAATGTACTTACAGAATTTGCACAATGTTTGTTTTACTGTTTTATTTAAGTTACTGTTACCATTTACTGACAGTGGGGTAATTCAATATTCTTTTCAAAGTAGTTGTTGTACTGACCTTCAGTCTTCAGTCTTCATTAAAAAGGATAGGAGATCTGTCGACCTATATTAATCCTTGCAGTTTGTGATACAGTGTAGGTCCAATCTCGTTTTGAATATATTAACAGATGGTGCTGATATTACGTGTTCCGGTAGAGAATTCCAGTAATTCACTACTCGGTGCGAGAAACGGAACTCCAGACGTAAACGGTTTGATCTCGGTTTTTGAACTTTCTTCGAATGTGCTCTCAAATGATCGGTCCTAGACGGGAGCAAAAGATAAGACATGTTAATACCAAGGTCATCGTTCAGTATACGATAGGCCAATATTAGATCACCCCTTATTCTACGGTAAGATAACGGAAATAAGTTAAAGTGTCTCAGTCTGTCTTCATAAGATAGGCCAGATAGACCTTGTGCCATCTTAGTAGCTCGTCGTTGGACTCTTTTTAGCATATATGTTTCGTATTTGAAACAAGGACACGCTGCTTGAATCCCGTATTCTAAATGTGGTCGCACATAAATCGGGTATAGTAATCTAAACATTTCATCATCTAAATACTGGAAAGACCTACGAATTGACCATAATATCCTATAGTTTTTCGCAGCAGCAGCCTTATAGTGACTAGTCGTTTTGAGATCATTGCTTAATATGACTCCTAAATCTTTATAGTTTCTTACTTTTGGTAGCACGAATCCAAGTAGTGTATAGTCATACGATTCATCAGAGTTATTTAACTGCATCACTACACTCTTATTAGGATTTACTTCTAGTGACCACCTATCTAACCATGCCACCAATGAGCTAAGATCGTCCTGTAATACTATCCTATCCGACATACTATGTATGGGTCTCCAAATCTTCATGTCATCAGCGAAGAGTAGAACGGATGATTTTGCTACAGTTGGCAATTCATTTACATAAAGTAAAAAGAGAAGAGGACCCATGATTGTACCTTGGGGAACTCCACTTTTTACAGTTACCCACGAGGAGAGAGTCCCATTAACCCTTACCCTTTGTCTCCTGTCATGGAGAAAGTTACTTATCCAATCGACGACTGTATAATGGATTCCAAAACGTTTCAGTTTGAATTTAAGACCAGAGTGGGAAACCTTATCAAAGGCTTTACTTAGATCTATGAAAATCACATCCACAGGAGCATTCCGATCCTTTGCCGCATCCCAATCTTCTTGTGCAATGAGAAGATTTGTCAAGCAAGATAGGCCTTTCCGAAAACCATGTTGTTCCGTGGAGAAAAGATTTTGCCCCTCAACATAGTTTATAACAGCTATCCGAATGATTTTCTCCATCAGTTTTACAACTGCACTAGTTAAGCTAACGGGTCTATAGTTACTAACTAAATCCCTACCCCCAGCCTTATACACCGGACTTATTATGGCGTCTTTCCAGTCTCTAGGCAGTTTGGACTGTCTCAGAGACATGTCGAATAGTATCGCTAATGGTTCAGCAATTTCATCTGATATGGCTTTCATAATCCTAGGATGAATATCGTCAGGACCACTGGACTTATCAGGTTTGAGATGCTGGAGTAGCCTTAAAACAGTATCTTTCTCAATGACTACAGGATCCATCAGCGAGCCGTCACGGTCGCAACGAATCATTGGTCGTTCCTCATTACCGATAGAAAACACTTTACTAAAGTATTCCGATAAAGCTTCAGCTTTTTCGGCATCATTGTCTGCTAAGATTAACGGATTTTCTCGTATCAAAAGTGATGGAATTCCATCACTTCTCCTAGTTCGTCTTTTTATATACGAGAATAACCGTATCGGACTATATCTAGAATCCCTAACCAATTGTTTTTCGTATGATAGTCTAGTCTTACTTATTAACTCTTTACAGGCATTCCTAATCTTACAATAACTGGATCTGTATTGTTCTAAGCCAGTAGAGATGAACATATCCCAGTGATTCTTCCTCTTTCTAAGGAGTTTCCTGACCGTTTTAGTTATCCATGGTGGACTATTATTCGGTCTTTGCGGTACCAGGTATGGTATGAATGGAGACATAACTAGTCTAAATTTACCTTTAAATACAGACCATGCTTCTTCAACTGATATGCTAGTATCTACTAACCAATTTGTCTTAGCAGCACATTCCTGAATGGCTGATATGTTAGCTTTCCATACATTTGGGCGAAGTGTAACCTGATCGTATAACATGTCCCTAGTTCGAAACGTGAATGACAAAACAGCGTGGTCGCTGTTCACTAACGGCGGGAGAATATTGAAGTCGACAATATCCTCAGTCTCATGAGTGATTACCAAATCCAGCAGAGAAGAACCCTGGTTAACACCAAAACGTGTGGGTTTGATTTCGAGTCGAATACGTAATGAATGAAGTCAAAATGTGTCTAATTGTTGTTAAACATAATTAGTTTTAACTAAACAGTCGAATTTATGTTTTGTATGGATCCTTCTTTTAGCAAATCTAGGAATTCTGAAGCAACCTGATACTTTTTGATAATCTAGATTTCAGGACCAACGGATTATCTAGGTCATTTAAACTTGATATATACACTGACGGTGATTTAAATAATTTGGTTTCACTTGACATTTGATGTAGAGATCGTCTTAAACGGCACCAAAAATTTTGCCAGCAAGTTTTATGATGTTTCGAACCTACTTTATAAAACCTTTTTTTCTATGAGTAATGACAGGGTAAAAAGCCGTATTGGTAGATAACTCAAAAGAATGAATTGTTTTGTAAGCACTCAACATTGATGCTGACCGTTGTAGTGTTACAAAACACTGGCCAGTTGAAGACACTCGATCACGTATGCACGTCAGACCAAGTTTAAACTTACCACAAGATACTTCTCCTGTTGTAAATACTAGCGTAAAGGTTTCACGTTACGCTGCCGACCGTCATCCACCTCTTGTATACAAGGCTCGGGTCATCTCATCAGAAGAAATTTAGATCTTCAATGTGTTTGCAAACGTTGTTCTACCAGGTGTCTATATAACAGTTTCTAGCCCATTTACAACGGTCTCTGAAACAAAGGGACAAATGTTTTGAATACCACATGCTGTATGTAACAGTTACTTTCATATTAGGCCATCAAAGTTAGAACGACAGCATAAAATCCTAAATATTAAGTAAGACAGTCTCTTTCTTCAGAAATTATGTTTTGTCGCACATCTTTATGATAGATAAACAGGATTTTAAGTGCTATCTCAGTTTTTATCACAGTTTAAAAAGACTAATTTCTCAAGGTTAATTTATACATTTTATATTTTAATTCGTGTTTACGAGCTTTCGTAACACTTTTGACATTTTGTGATGCTTTGAAGTTTTCACCGGATTTTCGATTTTGTGATTTCTGATACAATAATATATGAAACTGAACGCTTCCTTCATGGTACGAATATTACAATTCTAAGCTATGTAACTCTAACGTCAACCTAAATTTTTAAAGTTTGTTACTAGCTTTGAGGAACAGAATGTGTTATAGTTCGTTTGTAGTTTCCATGACCCAGTGTTTTTATGTACTGATTTCCATTCTTCACCTTTCTGTTATTTGGATTAGCCTTCTTCATATATTTATTTCCTATCTCATGAAATGATCCTAAACATATTAACGTCGATCTTTATAAGAATTATTTCAACCTTGTGGAGTTTACAGAATTCAGGTGTTAAAATTTCTAAATGCACTGCGTTTTGCTTTGACATTTCCACCCTTTGTTTTCTTTTCGAAAAATATATTTTAATGATCAGATAGAACTCAGGTTAGTAACTGCATTGTGTTCTTTTTATAGGGATATATATATTAGTGATAATATCAAGATTCCTTCAGACTACTTTTGATTTCTGGCTTTGAGATTGTTAAATAGTTCACTTTATAATAGAAAAACAACGATTGACCTTATTCTTGGAATGCGCCCATGTTATTTATCTCAGTTCATGTATCGGAATTTGGGTCGATTATAGAATTTACAAATATTGTTCTCACATCCTAAACTACCAAGGATCGTAAATTTGTGATATTGTTGAACAATAAACTTGTACCGTAATGGCATTCAGCTGTCTTCCTCGCCTAATATGGGAGCAGATAATGAGCTGTTTGCCACCAGTGCACTTTTATGAAGCCCGCTGTATCATTGGGGAAGATCTTATTGATCAGACATTGGAATTAAAATCTGAAGTAAGCTGTCATATTATGATAAGCTAACTGACAGATTATTTCTGTTTTAGAACTAGCCAATAATAAGGATTCTTTTCTACCAACCTCTCTAGATTCTTCAAATTGCTCAACTGACGTGGAGTATTTCTCTTTCCTTTATTTAAATTCCATTGAAAAGTAAGTTGAATTCCGTTTGCTCAAAGATAATGGAGTAGATCGAAGCAGGATAATCGTGAACAAACATTTGATGGTTTGAAAGGTGAGCTCCCTGGAAATTCCTTTAAAAGGACACAATTAAATAACTTTACCTACCATATTTATAACGTCGTGAATGCTACGGAAATTCTTACTTTTAAACTTGTTTTATAATTGAATTCACGAGATGACCTAGGCTAAACCACCATTGAAAACCCTGAATCGTTGGACAGCTGTTTCACCTTAGTATGGGGCTCCTCAGCGATGCGCAAGATCACGGAACAGTCGGAGTTAAACATTAACGCCATTGGATGCCGGCTCAATGGTCTAGAGGCCAGGCGTTTTCGCGTTGGACCGAAAGTCTTAGATTCGAGCCTTAAAAACTGGATTGCGGATGCCCACTGTTGAGGAGCCCCATACTAGGACGAAACGGCCGTTCAGTGCTACCACGTTTTCAATGTTGGTCTGGTTTAAATCGACTTGTGAATTCAACCATGAAAATACTACAATCTTCACAAATCTCCATACTGAAAATATTTTATACACTTTTTTTATTTCAGTGATTTAACACTGACCTTGCAAGATAGTCAATATATCAGCTGCCATTATAGTTTTTTAGAAAAGTGTAGTTTCCATGGTACTATTTATAAATGAGTTTTCTGGTTTTAGTTTTTTCTAACATTGCATTTGGTGATTCTACCATCAATAAAATCAATTTACTACGGGCAATAGTTTGATTAATGACAACAAATTTGGTAAGATAATATAACACACAATGATGAAACAATTTGAACAGAAATAGATTAACAATTTGGTACCATGAAACACAATTATCGTAAAAAGCGTTTAAAATTTCACTTATTATGATAAAAAGAAGTTTTGTATCACATTTACAATGTAAAAACTTGTGAGTTTTAGTCCCAGTCATACATGTTTACTTAAAAATGAAAATAACTCTTATAATATTCACTTGAAGATTTACACATTGAAACGGATAATACACCTAGCAAATAAAATGAATAATAAATAACTTTTTCAATTAAATAGCGAAATTCTCTCTAACATCAGTGATGACTTGACTTATATATATTCATTACTGAGTTATGACTCGCGAATACAAACTCAACAATCAGTGATATGGAAAATATTAGATGCTTATGTAATTCAAAATGTGTTACTATGTTTAAGTGTTGTAAGTAAACGAAGCACTATGATGTGTTTAACAACATTTGGCTTATTTTAGCCAAGCAACAAAGTTTTGGCCGTTATGTTATTATCTAAAGTACACTTGTAATCAAATGTTATACATATTTGTTAAATATGAAAAGTTATTAATTACGTATAACTTTCTTTTGAAAAAATTTCCTGGATTTCAGAAGAATCTGAACTTGAATGTTACACTCAAAAAATAAGGTAATTGATTAACTGAAGTCGAATTTCGAGTAATAACTTTATTATTATTATTATTATTATTATTATTATTATTATTATTACTATCTTTTATCAATACAGCAGAATCTTTCCAAATGTTTCAGTATATGTTATATTTCAGCATTTGAAAGTAATTATCTCGTTTTATAGTTTCCCTACAATTAATCAGTTATTTAGTCCTTGATGTAATTGCTTAACTCTGAAATCAATGTTCTGACCTTCATTAGATGTAAAAGTTTCAGAAAAGTATATAATTTACTCACATCAGCTTAGTACCTTTTTATGCAATACATTGTTTATAAATAATATATTCGTATAGATTCTCTTATTAGAAATGTAAAACAGATACGTTTAATAGCTGTTATTTTATCGCAAACATTAACATTAATAAATAAGTATAGAAAGTAAAGTAGCAAGGGTAGTATGTTAAAAAAAATTAAAGTCAAAACTTTATAATTATAAGGTTACGAGGAAGTTTTGATTTTTATTCATAATTTATTGGTTTTCCAGCTGTAGAAAATAACTATCTCGAGGAATACAATTAGAAATTTAACAGTCTTGTATAAAATTTGTAGAGAAACCTAAGGATATTCCGTGATTATATGTAGCATTCTTTCTCCGACTTACTTCAAAACTAGCTAGTATGCAATTTGTCACAAGCAGTATATCATTCTCTATATATTCATCTTCCTTGATGGTGGTTCATAAACTTATTGGATGGGTTTCTTTATTGTGGGTCTTGAATAGGAAACCTGATAACTGAGTGGAATTTTGACTATGATTATGGTTCATTACGTGTGATTGCTTTACATTATCCTCTTTCAGTGATCGTGTTATACAACTGTAAAGTGACACAAGAAAACCTACCGTTCATCATGCTCATCTAGATAGTAATGTCGCATCACTGGTTGCGTAATCTGGTGAAAGTTAAGTAAACCAATTACACCTATGTTGAAGTTCCGAATCTTTGTGTGAGCTGTATACGTCACTGTCTGTACAAGCTGTTTCTGGGATAATGGAGTTTTAATCCATTACTGGGTATGTTTCTGGAATGGAGAGTACTGGACCACAGGGCAGATCTTGAATAACTGCTGTTTCGTTTGAAGTACAGTTTATCGAGGGTTCATGGAGGCTGAAATCATTTTCCAGCTCAGTGTGCAATTGAGAAATCAATCCATCCACTTCCGTTGCATCTCCAAAGCATGAGTAATTTAGCAGCTGCGTGCGTAACTTGACTCAGAACTTCAGCTGTCGCTCGAATAGCAGCTGTAATCAATCGGAAGGGAGAGTCATTTTTTTTAATCAGCACCGATAATGAAAATTACTATATAAATAATGACTAATGTCGTTCAAGGACACTGATGACAAATCTGGATGCTGACTGCTCGAAATAATTAGACTAAACTTCGTCCAATTACAGGCTGACTTTGGATCGTATTTCTTTTTAGCCCGTTGCCAATTGTTATAACTTGTGACCGCCGATTAGAGGGCAGTGACTTGTCGATCGGACCAATGACGCGTAAAACGCCTGAGGGCAGCCTAGAGTTTTGATTGGCCCTGCTTCCTGCCTAGCCCAGCCAGTTAAGTCCAGAACACAAGTCTCAGACTCTTCGATATGAATCATTTATTTCAAACATACTCTGTTTATATGCCAATCAAGCAGACCACATCGTACCATAAAATAAAAAATAAAATGTGTACAAGATTTGGCCAAGTGTGGCTTTGAATGTGAGAGATAGTTACTAATAAACAGGGAATAATTCAAGAATGGAAAATCGTATAATAACAGTTCGTAGGTTAAAATAAAGCTTATGATAAAAGAGACATGAATACGAATAGTTTAGTCAATTAACAATTATACGACAAAAATATACGCACAGTATTGGTCTATAAAGAGATCCAAAAAATTACCACTCATTATTCTAATCGGGACACAACAGACTGGTATTATTAGCTTATTTGTTATCTCTCACTTTTATACTGAGGAGGGTAAGCTTGGAGCGTTAAGCAGTCAACTTAATCTCTGAATCCTACTACAATAATTTATGATAATGAAAAAGAAACAAACGATCAACGGCTAAACACTTACAACAACGAAATACAGAAAATTGAACATAACCCGTTTTGTACTTATTTTTGATAAAATTTTATATTATCAGCATAGGGTTGTGGATACTGTTAGGTGTTTGATTGAGATCATGAACCGATTGGTAATCTCCACAACTCTATACTGATAATTACCATGTGCTCACTAGTGACTAGCTTCGTGAGGAAGTTCTAGTGAGGAGCCATGACCAGTGGAGCTAATCTGTGTCGGGTAGAGACAGGTATCTACCTCAGTACAATGAAAGATGGTCGCGCAATTTCGTGGTTGAAATTAGACATTAACACCATTGGATGCCGACTCAGTGGTTTAGAGGTTAAGTGTTCGTGCGCGAGACTAAAAGCCCTGGGTTCGAATCCAGCGAGCGGGACGGTGGATGCGCGCTACTGAGGAGTCCCACAATAGACCGAAACGGTTGTCCAGTGCTTCCAGATTTTTAATGGTGTTCTAATATCAATCAGTTCATGATATCAATGAGAAAATTTTTATATGTTCGGTTGTAAAATATTTCATTTATTTTATTTTAGAAATGCTATACTTGCTGAAATCTCACATTTGAAAACTTACTTACAAAATATTCAGGTGTGTTCAATTTCTGTTTGCATTTTCTGAAAATTAAGAATATGACTGTATATCTTTTAAACCAAAAGAATTAGTTCATTATATTTTATCGATTAGGATAACTGTGCTCTCACTGGTTTTCTACCTTAGAATATTCATGTATTTAATCTAGAAATCAGTAAACGTTTAGGCACTTTTTAATTCCTCCATAATTATTGTCTGTTACTATTCTATATTTATACATCAGAGTCAGTTTTATCCAAGACTTCTTGAGTTTTTGACCAATAGCACTATTGTTTCTAGGTTGTAAACAGCCGAGAGGAATCTACAAAAGGTCAACAGAGATTCCAAGAACTTGTTTCTGAACATATTTAAGACTGCATTACTCAATTCTAGAGTCCAGTAGTGACTGACTTTGCATAAGAGTGTATTAGTTACATTATTCGGTCGCTTGGTCATAATCAGTTTTCACTTATCTAGCTTTTAGTCCTGATTGAACAACATTGCTTAAGTTCATTTTAGGCCTGAAAGCCCCAATGAAAACATTATTTCTACAGTTTGATCATTATTAAAAACGAAAGTTTGTGACACATATTGCTATGTAGTGATTTATTCGTAGAAGGTAGGAATATTTCAAAAACTTTAACTTTTATTAGATTGACATAAGTTTAGAAAAGGGTTTATATGGATCTCCGTGGAACAAAGAGAGCAGTAAACGTAGCTTCAGATCAACACCTGGTTATGGTCAAGATGGAACAAAGGTAAAGAAGCACTGGACAACTGGAAAACAGCATTACAAAGGTTTAATAGTCTTCCTTCGAGATACTGTCAAACCCAACGAATTCAACATAGCTCTCAAAAACAGGTCCCAAGCATTACAAGATCTACTCGAAAAAGAGGAAGCCACCATGAAAAATAACTGGAAGTGAATTGAAGAAGCACCAACTTGAACGCACCATGGGGTTCTGAGACGCAAGAAGCATCATCATAAGGAATGGATCCCTATCGAAACCCCGACTAGCATTCAGGAGAGGAAGAACAAGAAAACAGCAATTAGCAACAGCCGAAAAAGAACAGAGAAAGTCAATGCACAGACCAAATACACAGAAGCAAACAAGCAAGTGAAGAGGAGCATTGGAGCCGACAAGCAGAAATACGGGGAAGAGTTGGCAATGACAGGAGAAAACTACAAGAGAATGAAATATGAAATAACTGTACGACACAACGAAGAAACCATCAGGGAAATGTAGCAAACCAGGGAGACAAATCAAGGATAAAGAAGGCATGAGAACCACTAAGATTCAAGGACGGAGGAACATTTGGGTATAACACTTTAAAGAACTCTTGAATAGACCAGCCACAGTGAACTCACACAATATCGGAGCAGCACATACAGACATTCTTATAGATGTCACTCCACAAACGATCGAAGGAATCAGGATTGCCACCAAGTAAATCAACAATGGGAGAGCAGCAGCACCTGAAAACTTACCGGCTCAAGCACTGAAGTCGCACATAGAAGTAACTACAAACATGCTCCACGTTCTATTCGGGAAGATTTGGGAGGAAGAACAAGTGCCACCGACAGACTGGGAAGAAGGATACCTAGTCGAGATATCAAAGAAAGGAGATCTGAGTAAGTGTGAGGACTACGTAGGAATCACACTACTTTCGGTACCAGGAGAAGTTTTCAATAGAGTGTTGCTGAACCGGATAAAAGATTCCGTTGATACTAGGCCTCAAGATCAACAGGACGGATTCGTACTGATCAATAATGCACAGGACGAATTGCGACACAACGGATCATTTTTGAGCAGTCAACCAATGGAATTTGTCACTATACATCAGCTTCCATGACTATGAGAAAGCGTTTGACCGAGTGGATAGAACCTTATGGAACTTTCTTCAACAGTGTTGTGAGTAGCTGAAAAGATCGCCAACATCATCCTCAACTCATACGACGGACTAAACTGCAAAGTCGTGCATTGGGGACAGTTTATAGATGCATTCCAAATGAGTACCGGAGTCAGACAGAAGTGCTCACTCTCACTATTTCTCTCTTCTAGTGGTTGACTGAATTACGGAATACAAAGGACAGATTGGGTGCAACTAGATGATTCGGACTCTGCAGATGACATAGCTCTTCTATTTCATACACACCAACAAATGACGGTCAAAACAACCAGTGTAGCAGAAGACGTTGCATCAGTAGGTCTCAGCATACACAGGCAGGAAAGCAAGATCCTGAAGTGCAATATAGTCAGAACCAGATCAATCACAATTTATGGACGAGCTCTGGAAATGTGGAAAGTTTGACGTGCCTGGGCGGGATCATCGATAATCAAGGAGAATCTGATGCAGACGTAAATTAGAGGATTGACGAAGCAAGGGCAGCATTCCTACGGGTGAAGAACACATGGAATTATAAACAACTGTCAACCAATATCAAAATCAGATGCTTCAATACGAACGTCAAGATAGTTCTGTTTTACGGAGCCCAAACTTCAAGAACTTGTGGGGGCTGGTACCATGTTGAGCCCAGAAAGGATATTTTAGCCTCTAGACAGATGAATGTATTCATTCTGTTTAAGCCACATTTTACTCTGTCACTTATTAGTCTGAACTGTTTTTTATATGATCGTTTGTGTGCTAATTACTTACCATATTCATTGTGTCTGTAACTTATTTTTGTTTGACTATAAATTTCGATTCGCGGTTGGTAAAATCGAATTGGCTCATATGCCATCTCCAACCCGTTTTGCTTCGTTCTCTCCTCTTCGCTTTCTTCACTTCATTTCCCTGATCGTCTATCCCGATCAAAAGTTATATGAAATGTACGTATTCGAAACTCATTGTTGTATTTGACATATTTAGTTCCGTTATTCAATAACGCGATTTCAGTAAATGACTATATACGGAGATTGGAAACATGCTCATTTCGACAACAATCATTCAATTACGGTCATTCGTACGATATAGTTGGAGTCAGATAGCGAGCCACTATAACTACTACAACCATTATAAAAAGTACAAGTATTTATAAACAATTATCTACTCAATGCAACAGCTTACTATGAGAGCGATCAAATGAGCTTCCAACTGAAGAGAAAATTAAGCAAAGATGCCGGAGATAGATAGAACATATATTACGGAAATCATCAAACTGCTTCAAGAGGTAAACCCTAACTCGAAATCCTTAAGGGAAAAAGAAAAGAAGCAAACCAAAGAAGACGTTGCTCTAGGAACTGGAGGCAGACATTAAAAGAATGAGTAGCATATGACAAGAACTGGGAAAGAGAACCATGGACGGAGTTGACTGGATAGTCGTGGTTGACACGCTATGCTCCTCGACAAGGGGTAACAGGTGCAAGTAACTAAGCACTAAGTTCGGACACCAAGTCGATTGTTACTAGTTCAAATAATAAGATTTGCCTATTTATTACTGTAGAGACATGATAAAGAGCAAATCGAAAAAATTTCTTCTTTGAACTATTTATTCAATGTCTTAATGGAAAATATTCTTATTTATTGACAATATGGCATGAACCAAATTTTCAATTCAAAACTTATTGATACCTTTCAAATAAAAGCAATGAATTGAATTACAAATGAAAAATATTTATTATACAGAAAAAATCAATGACTTTTATGCTCATAGAAAGAAAATAAGAATATGAAATGATTGGGTAAATCTATATTGCACTTCTATTCTCCAATTCAATCTGTATTATCAGTTAGCATATACTGAGTGAAATTCAAATTATTCCAATCTCCATAATTTTTTATTCTTCATTCAGTAAACATTACATTCCCTTGTTTATAGTATTACGCCACTTGTTGTTTGGAATATTAACGGTGAATAAATGATTATGAAAGATTTATTCGATACATATGAAATATCAGTAGTTGAGATCATGCATCAGTTGTACCTGAATCACCATGGAAAATCTGGAAGCACTGGATAGCCATTTCGTCACATTGTGAGAATCCTCAGCAATGCGCATCCACGATCGCGTCTCACGAGATTCAAACTCACGAACTATCAGTCACGCACGCGAACACTTAACCTCTAAACCATACAGTTGGCATCAAATTGACTCATCACCTCAACTATGGAAAGTGCTACAATATCCACAAAAATTTCTTCTGATACATATGAAATTGTTCATTTTATCGGGTTTTTATTGATGTGTAGGAGATATTGAATTTATCGAGTACCGGTTCAGTGTTCTAATGATAACACATTGACTTCCACACCTCAAGATCCTACATTTCATTCCTGTTCGATTTATCAATGTTCACTGTTATTAAGTGTTATATAGTGATGACCATCCATGTCTCCTTAATTTTGAGCGATTATGTAATTAAATTCGATCCGTTTTTTTGCAAATTATGTTTAAACACAAGCATAGTATGAGTAATGTTGATTGGTTGTAAATAGTTGTTTGGATCAAACCGTATATGTAGATTTCGTGCTAGTATATAACTTGTAGTAGGACATACCTGAAAACTTGGGGGGTTGAAACCAGCTTAGTTTACCCTAACCTTCTGAGACTTTACCGTCGATTTATTCGGTCAACGACTGATTTTCTGTACGACTGAGATATTTACTCTGAATAACTATTTATCAGATTTTTTTAAATTTATTACACTATTAATTAGAAACTGACATTTAAATAAATATTTCAAGCTTTGTCTTTTCTGTTTTTCTTAATTCCACCAAGAATTCTCTTTTGGAAAGCTTCAGTACATTAAATCATGAACAGGAGAATATCAGTCAAACCCTTCAAGTGGATTCAATATCATCCAAACCAAAAACAGTTCACAACAATTCAATAACTAACCAGAAAATGTCTTGCGGTTTAGAGTTCCTCCTTAGTCAAGATTCAGTTAATGGGTTACTTAGCTATTCAAATGTTCCTTGTTCATCAGTTTCATTGTCAAATCGATCATCAAGTGATACTTCCTCTTCTTCATCTTCATCCAGTAAATCTAAGAGAAAATCAATTCATGATTTGTTGTCTCTTCATCAGAATTCGAATCACTGCACACAAATGCAAATGTTGTCTTTAGAAAATAACAAAACTATTACAAATAGTAATAATGTCCTACGGAAATCAATAACTACCTATAAATTATCCACCTCGTAAGTCAATATAATCAAGCAGAATATTCAGCATAAATAGGAACAATCATTTGTAACATTTAGATCAATAAAACTAATTTTATGTGATTGTTTATTTCGATAGTTGAAATCGTGAGTTAATTGAAGCTAGACCACCTTGAAAAATTCGGAAGCACTGAACAGCCGTTTTGTTCTGTTGTGGATCTCCACAGTAGTGCTCATCCACGATCCTGCCTCGTGAGGTTCAAGCCCAGGACCCGTTGTTCTTGAGCCTGAACGCTTAACCTCAGGACCACTGAAATGGCCGGCATCTAATGGTGTTAATGTCTAACTCCAACCAATCCACGAAATTGAGCGACACATCCACCATCGTTTTCAATGAGTTACTATCTCACAGTCTGGTTTCAAGAGGTATTTCCTGGAGTTGTAGCCTAATGTAAAAATTAGTTTTATTTAACTGAATTAATGTTAGATATTGATTGTAAATTCTGAGATGTATACTACGTTTGATGATTCCATGTTTATAAGTGATTCTGTGGTGTACACTATTTATGTCAACAGACATAAGTAATATGTAACACCATTCGGAAGTGGAAAAACTGACAGCAGAAGAAAATAAGACTATAATTTATGGACGACTTTGAGCGACGCTAAACTGATATTGAGAGTGTCCACCTAATAACTAGGAGCAAATGAGGGTTATAAACCTGTATGATGAATTCGAATTATGATTTGCAGTTGATAGTTAAAGTTAAGAATTAGATTTAGGGTTTTCATCACAAACTGATATCAGCTAAAATACCAAAACTCTATCTAGTCAAATGGATGAGTGAATTTCGCGCCAAAATCCAAGACCTGTTATCTTATACCTGATTGGTTTGTCCATAAATTATAGTCTCGCCGTTCTGTAAAACTAGATGTAACTTATTTAAGGGTATCATTTATATTCATACGATATTCATATGATGGATAAAATATTTCAATATTCACTTATCCACTAGTGTATGCATACACATTTTTTTTGTTTTACATACTTGTGTTTCTATCTTTTACTGTTCTACAAATCCGATTTCATATTATTTAGTAGCTGTAGTTGTGTTTTCTTTTCTCATACAATTTCTATTATGCTATAGAATAAATGTTAATGTAAATTGAATATTATCATTATAATTAATGGCAATAAATAACTATTACAATTACCATTCAATAATGCAATAAATATGATATATTTTCTATAGCATTAGACGATCGTTTCGTCCTATTGTAGGACTCTTCAACAGTAAACATCCGTGATCCGTTTAGTGCTTTCCGATTTTCCATGTTAATCTAACTTTAATTGACTTATGATTTTAACTATTAACAGTTACTATAATATCTACACACAAAAAACTCCTTTGTGATATATTTTTCTTATTTTTTTTTATTAATAGAGAGACAAAACAATTACAAAATGATGCAAATCAAAAATTTGATGAACAAATTCATTTACCTGATATTTCAAATTCATTAACATCAAATTCATTTAAACAATTAAAACAAAAATCTTATTTAATCAATAAATCTCAATTAATCAATCAAAATGTATTATATAAATCAGATTCAAATCAATTATATAATATAAAACAAATATATTCTAATGATAATCGTTATAATTCAGCACAAAAATTTCGACAAATGATATTAAAAGCACGTCAAGATAGTGGAAATTATTAAAAATCAATTTTATTATTGATTATTGTTTTTGTTTCTTCTTTAATTATCTTGATGAAATTAAATCGATAATATTGATTTATTAAATTAAATAAATTTGTAAATATTTTTTTAATTTTTAATAAAATATAAGAAATAATTGATTGTATTGATTTTGATTTCATTTTTCGTTCAAGTATATTCTACTAAAATGTTGATGTAAGCTGATTTCAACCCCTCAAGTTTTCAGGTATGTCCTACTACAAGTTATATACTAGCACGAAATCTACATATACGGTTTGATCCAAACAACTATTTACAACCAATCAACATTACTCATATTATGCTTGTGTTTAAACATAATTTGCAAAAAAACGGATCGAATTTAATTACATAATCACTCAAAATTAAGGAGACATGGATGGTCATCACTATATAACACTTAATAACAGTGAACATTGATAAATCGAACAGGAATGAAATGTAGGATCTTGAGGTGTGGAAGTCAATGTGTTATCATTAGAACACTGAACCGGTACTCGATAAATTCAATATCTCCCACACACCAATAAAAACCCGATAAAATGAACAATTTCATATGTATCAGAAGAAATTTTTGTGGATATTGTAGCACTTTCCATAGTTGAGGTGATGAGTCAATTTGATGCCAACTGTATGGTTTAGAGGTTAAGTGTTCGCGTGCGTGACTGATAGTTCGTGAGTTTGAATCTCGTGAGACGCGATCGTGGATGCGCATTGCTGAGGATTCTCACAATGTGACGAAATGGCCATCCAGTGCTTCCAGATTTTCCATGGTGATTCAGGTACAACTGATGCATGATCTCAACTACTGATATTTCATATGTATCGAATAAATCTTTCATAATCATTTATTCACCGTTAATATTCCAAACAACAAGTGGCGTAATACTATAAACAAGGGAATGTAATGTTTACTGAATGAAGAATAAAAAATTATGGAGATTGGAATAATTTGAATTTCACTCAGTATATGCTAACTGATAATACAGATTGAATTGGAGAATAGAAGTGCAATATAGATTTACCCAATCATTTCATATTCTTATTTTCTTTCTATGAGCATAAAAGTCATTGATTTTTTCTGTATAATAAATATTTTTCATTTGTAATTCAATTCATTGCTTTTATTTGAAAGGTATCAATAAGTTTTGAATTGAAAATTTGGTTCATGCCATATTGTCAATAAATAAGAATATTTTCCATTAAGACATTGAATAAATAGTTCAAAGAAGAAGTTTTTTTCGATTTGCTCTTTATTATGTCTCTACAGTAATAAATAGGCAAATCTTATTATTTGAACTAGTAACAATCGACTTGGTGTCCGAACTTAGTGCTTAGTTACTTGCACCTGTTACCCCTTGTCGAGGAGCATAGCGTGTCAACCACGACTATCCAGTCAACTCCGTCCATGGTTCTCTTTCCCAGTTCTTGTCATATGCTACTCATTCTTTTAATGTCTGCCTCCAGTTCCTAGAGCAACGTCTTCTTTGGTTTGCTTCTTTTCTTTTTCCCTTAAGGATTTCGAGTTAGGGTTTACCTCTTGAAGCAGTTTGATGATTTCCGTAATATATGTTCTATCTATCTCCGGCATCTTTGCTTAATTTTCTCTTCAGTTGGAAGCTCATTTGATCGCTCTCATAGTAAGCTGTTGCATTGAGTAGATAATTGTTTATAAATACTTGTACTTTTTATAATGGTTGTAGTAGTTATAGTGGCTCGCTATCTGACTCCAACTATATCGTACGAATGACCGTAATTGAATGATTGTTGTCGAAATGAGCATGTTTCCAATCTCCGTATATAGTCATTTACTGAAATCGCGTTATTGAATAACGGAACTAAATATGTCAAATACAACAATGAGTTTCGAATACGTACATTTCATATAACTTTTGATCGGGATAGACGATCAGGGAAATGAAGTGAAGAAAGCGAAGAGGAGAGAACGAAGCAAAACGGGTTGGAGATGGCATATGAGCCAATTCGATTTTACCAACCGCGAATCGACATTTATAGTCAAACAAAAATAAGTTACAGACACAATGAATATGGTAAGTAATTAGCACACATACGATCATATAAAAAACAGTTCAGACTAATAAGTGACAGTAAAATGTAGCTTAAACAGAATGAATACATTCATCTGTCTAGAGGCTAAAATAGCCTATCTGGGCTCAACATGGTACCAGCCCCCACAAGTTCTTGAAGTTTGGGCTCCGTAAAACAGAACCATCTTGACGTTCGTATTGAAGCATCTGATTTTGATATTGGTTGACAGTTGTTTATAATTCCATGTGTTCTTCACCCGTAGGAATGCTGCCCTTGCTTCGTCAATCCTCTAATTTACGTCTGCATCAGATTCTCCTTGATTATCGATGATCCCGCCCAGGCACGTCAAACTTTCCACATTTCCAGAGCTCGTCCATAAATTGTGATTGATCTGGTTCTGACTATATTGCACTTCAGGATCTTGCTTTCCTGCCTGTGTATGCTGAGACCTACTGATGCAACGTCTTCTGCTACACTGGTTGTTTTGACCGTCATTTGTTGGTGTGTATGAAATACAAGAGCTATGTCATCTGCAGAGTCCGAATCATCTAGTTGCACCCAATCTGTCCTTTGTATTCCGTAATTCAGTCAACCACTAGAAGAGAGAAATAGTGAGAGTGAGCACTTCTGTCTGACTCCGGTACTCATTTGGAATGCATCTATAAACTGTCCCCAATGCACGACTTTGCAGTTTAGTCCGTTGTATGAGTTGAGGATGATGTTGGCGATCTTTTCAGCTACTCACAACACTGTTGAAGAAAGTTCCATAATGTTCTATCCACTCGGTCAAACGCTTTCTCATAGTCATGGAAGCTGATGTATAGTGACAAATTCCATTGGTTGACTGCTCAAAAATGATCCGTTGTGTCGCAATTCGTCCTGTGCATTATTGATCAGTACGAATCCGTCCTGTTGATCTTGAGGTCTAGTATCAACAGAATCTTTTATCCGGTTCAGCAACACTCTATTGAAAACTTCTCCTGGTACCGAAAGTAGTGTGATTCCTACGTAGTCCTCACACTTACTCAGATCTCCTTTCTTTGATATCTCGACTAGGTATCCTTCTTCCCAGTCTGTCGGTGGCACTTGTTCTTCCTCCCAAATCTTCCCGAATAGAACGTGGAGCATGTTTGTAGTTACTTCTATGTGCGACTTCAGTGCTTTATTCGGTAGATAAATTTACCCAATCATTTCATATTCTTATTTTCTTTCTATGATCATAAAATTTATGGACTTTTACTCTTTCTTCTCTATCACGGTGCTTTGCGGATGATGGTTCAACACTACGTTTCTGGAATGTCTAGTTTAGACAACTGCTAATCACTCATGATAAGTTTCAGATCGTTAATCTGTTTCTTGAACATCTGATATGATTTATAGAAATCAAATTCAGTTTTCATCTGAAGTTCATCTTTATTTCACTCTCTTCATTTCTTTTGATAAAACAAGGTTGCTGAATGGATTATTCATAAGTATATATTTTGTTAATTAAGTCTGTGTTAGGTAATCGATAGTCTCAAATTAATTTTGTCTATAAAATAAGATTGTCTTCGTAGTATTATTAATAATAAAATATGAAGTCGATAAGATTCATCAGCTAATTGTCCGAAACATTTCCTGTTTAATTAAAAAACTGAAATAAATTAGTCACGTCTGATGAAAGTCATGGTACTAAACTGAACTAGAAAGTAAATCAATCCAGTTTATTATGAAATTGTTAACGGAATATAATGAGGCGACTACGAAAGATCTATTATACATGTTTACATATGAGTAGAAATATTTATACTATATTTCGTATATATGTAGCTTGATTGCCGTTTATCTAACTGTTAGGTTTGAAGCTTCACGGGTTCACTTAGACTGCGAACGAGAACTATACTCAGTGACCAAAGACCAGTAATCTAACTATTGACGCGTCCCAGCCCCGCTATCTAGAAGGAGAAGTCCAGGCTTGGTAGGGAAAATATATTCTGCATACAACCAGAAACGAGCGAGCAAGCAGCAGCAGCGAACAGTAGCGAACAGTAGTCAACGCTCAGACACAAATTAAACGTATATATATATATAAATATATAAAATCGATATTGTCATATTAAATGTTATTTTTAAACATGACTCATTCAGTTCATCACTCGACAGGCATTAGAATATTTAGTCGATAAGTTCATCATGTGACTTCCTTCCAAATATTTAATCGATGAGTCAATCGATATGATAAAATTACAAATATGAATTTTTGGGAATATACCGTCCCAACACTCCTCCCCTTTTTAATAGCGTGCTTTTCTGGGGTCGACTTGCATTTTGACTGTAGTTCGCCGCTGACGGAGAGGCCACCTTCTGGGACGGGGATCAGCTTGCTGTCGAGCTTCTTGTGATGGGGCTGCAGGTAAGTTGAAAGTATCAAGCAAGATGTCGAGGGGAAGATTTACTCCATTTGATGGGTGGTCTGGGGTAATCCGCTTACGTAGTTGGTTTCGGTGTCTAGTCCACGTGTCTCTTCCCACCTTTACCTCGTACATAACTTGACCTAGTCTTCCAACCACACGTGCTTCGATCCAAGGACCATGATTTGCTCTGTAGTCTCGAGCGAACACAGGGCATCCAACCTCGTACGCTGGGAGCTTCTGAGATTTGGTATGGGATGGTGGTGGTGTGGTTCTTGGGCACATGAGACTGTGGATCGTCCTCAATTTCCTTCCCATCAGGATCTCTGCCGGGGACTTCTGCTGTGGTAGCATATCATTAGGTGTTGTTCGGTAAACAAACAAGAAATTCTGCAGTGTTTCTACTGTCGTCCCCTCCCCTTTCGACTTCATTAGAGCTCTCTTGAATGTATCTACAAATCTTTCTGCTTGTCCATTTGACTGTGGGTGATAAGGTGGAGAGCGGAAATGCTTGATCGATAGGCGTTCGCAAAATTCTTGAAA